TCTCGCTGGTGTTTTTAATAGACTCCTCAAGGGAGCAGCAGCAACTCCAGGCGCTTAATTGATGGCCTGGTGCTTAAGACGTGCAACTTTGAAAAGCAACGTGGATTTCTTCTTTAGAGCCCAGGCTTTTACTCCTTCTCCCCACCCCCCACCCCATCTCTCTGCCTTCTTCTTCCTTCCCGCCCTTCCTGTCCCCTCGGTCGCCTGCGATTCTAACAGACAGTTGGGGGAGCCTGCCAAATCTGTATGATTTGCTATGAGTAAACCCCAAATATTGAGACACACACACACACACACAGAGAGAGAGAGAGAGAGAGAGAGAGAGAGAGAGAGAGAGAGAGAGAGAGAGAGAGAGAGAGAGAGAGAGAGAGAGAGAGAGAGACCCCGAAGAGAGAAGGGAAAGAGGGAAAGAGAGAAGAGAGAAGAGGGAAAGAGGGAAAGAGAGGAGAGGGAAAGAGAGAGGGAGGAAGGGAGGAAGAGAGAAAAGGCACTCATCACCGTCTTTCCATTTTTGGCCAAGAAAAGGGATCAAGGCATGCAAAAAGTCCCTGGGAAGGAATAGATGGCCATGCAGAGCCAGAAGAAGAAGGAGACGAAAAAGGAGGAGAAGGACAAGGGGAGAAGAACAAAGAATAATCCCTTAAAATGAGGTCGGAACCATCATTTCCTGCACCCCCTCTACCTGCTGGCCCGAAAAAGAAGTTTGTCTCCCATTTTAGACAATAAAATGCAAGGTGTTTTTTGAGAGTCAAGCAGGATTCACGGATCTCTTTAATAAGGGCAGAATCCCACATGGGGATTCATTGGGCTCGATGTATGGGTCGAATCCACGTACATGTATGCTCCATTGCCACGAATGAGATTACAGATACACACTAAGGCTGCGGTCCTGAAGCAGGTTATGCGGGAAGAAAGGCCCACTGAAAACCAGTTTAATCCTGAAACGTCCATAGGATCCGTCTATAAACTGCACCTCCGTAATCCTTGAATGGTAAATGAGTAAATGCCCTGATTGCTCCGAAACTTGTTTCTAAATCTCCTTGACACCGGAGCCCTGGCCCTCTCTGTTGAAGGCCCACCGCCCCATCCCAGAATGAACGGGCAACACAATAAAATACATCTGAACGAACAGAATGGGCGAAAAAGAGAGGTCGTCACCAGGAATTCTCTTGTTCTTTTTTTTAAGTGCTGGTTCGGGTTGCCCACAGCTGGATTAATAATTACCATCAATTTAAACACTGTGCAGTTAGGAGAATAACCCTAATAAATATCTCCCAGACCCCCTCATCCCCCAATCTGAAGTGTTGACAAGAGAGAATCAATAGACAGCAAACTCCTGGCGATGGAACAGGGTGATAAGGAAGAAAGTTCCCGATCCGGCTGCCTCTGTAGCCTCCCCCACCCTTCAGCCCGCCCTGCCTTTACCAAAGTTGGGGCTGGGGTGAATGCAGGCCACTGACACCTCCCCCCATCCTCTCCCGGGCCTTCCCACTCTGAGGCTTCCCGCCTTCAGGCCCTCCAGATGCCTTAGACACCAACTCTCAGGGGGCAACGAGGAGAGGGGCTGCCCCACGCATCTGGAGGGCGCCAAGTTGTGCACAATCTGCACCTAGATAAAAATCCAGAAAAGGTCGATCTTCAGCTGTGATTTTGGAATCTCAATATTCAAACTTTTCAAATTTGACCGGGGCGCGCGTTTTTTTTCCCCACCCTCACTGGATTCCGGCTATTTATTTATTTTTTACTCGAAAGTAAATGTCACCTGGTGTTTGTGCTGATTTTTTTTCCCAATCAACGTTTCCCTGAAACCGGAAGATTATATAATCTAATCTCATTCGTGGCAATGGAGCATACATGTACGTGGATTCGACCCATACATCGAGCCCAATGAATCCCCATGTGGGATTCTGCCCTTATTAAAGAGATCCGTGAATCCTGCTTGACTCTCAAAAAACTCTGAGTCACTTAGATCAGTGTTTTTCAACCTTGGAAACTTTAAGATGGCTGGGGAATTCTGGGAGTTGAAGTCCACCCATCTTAAAGTTTCCAAGGTTGAAAAACACTGATCTAAGTGACTCAGAGTATCCCGCTCGGATGAGTTCGGGGGAGGGGGGGGTTTCAGCCCTTTGGGGGTTTTGCTCAGAGAGCCCATTTTTCTTGATCTGGACTCTGGGGACATTGAGCCCACGCGTGTCTGAGTTGCTAGAAGGGCCTGTCTTTGCAGACTGTGAACTATAAACCCGGCCTTCCCCGAATCCTATTAAGCGGCGAGGGATTCGTGAGTGGAAGGGATGCGTAACAGGTCAAGCCAAAAATGGACGGTTGAACGAGCTTCCTGCTGACGGATTTCACCGCAAAGCGACTTGCAAGTTGGCTTGGGCAGAGGCGACTTCAGGTGCTGATGAACACTTCCGGCTTCCCCCTTGCAGTCTTCCCCCGCACCTTCAGTTCCCCTGCCCTTCCTTCCCTGTCCAGAAAACGGGAGGGGGGGAGAGGCTTTTGTGCACACAGGCAGGGACTCTAGCCTGTTGTGGAAAATCAAAAGGGAAGAAAAAGAGAAATTGCTCTGTAGGGCCTGGCCATCACCAGCGATGGACTTTAACTTGGATCTTTTTCTCCCCCTCTGCTATTTGGCCACGATGCAGAGCAGAACAAAGGCAGGTCTGTGTGCTGGGATTGTTGATAAAGTTACAACATAGCAAAACCCGCGCACGCACACACCCACACCCAAATCTGGGCGTCGGGGGAGAGGTGGGAAGAGTTTCAGTCTCCAGTCCAGGGGTAGGCCACCTTGGCTCTTTTATGACTCGTGGACTTCAACTCCCAGAATTCCTGAGCCAGCTATGCTATGCTGGCTCAGGAATTCTGGGAGTTGAAGTCCACGAGTCATAAAAGAGCCAAGGTTGTCTACCCCTGCGAGTCCAGTCCTTTGGCCATAACCGCGCTGGATTTTTTTTTCCCCCTTTCCTCTCCTAATTTTACCGTAGTTTTGTTTTAAAACCTTTTAGCTCTTGTCTGTCCCTGTGTCGGAACCTCCCGGCTCGGAGAGCTGGCGGGCTAATTCATCCTGATTTGCGTCATCTTGCCGCAGACACGCAAAGCATAATCCGAAATGATTTTAAGAACCAGCAGCTCAAGATACAAGGAGGTCCACCTCGCTGGAAGCCAACCGTTGCAACAAATTGCCGACCCGAAAGGAAACACTCAGCCGCCCCAGGCCAGCCCGTTTATTCCCCCCTCCCCCGGTCCACTGCCGGTCCACAAGGGAATTGTGGGTCATGGTTTGGGGGAGTGGGGGGAGGCGCTCGCATCGATTTGGGGCCAAAGGTCTGCTCCTCCTTAATTAACGGAGGAATCTCGTTTGAAAGAGGCGGAGGGAGAAAGAGACAAAAAACAACCAGCGAGGGAGAAACGTTAGGGCTATTTGACCACTTTATTGGTCAGTTATTTGTACTAGGCACACTCCGGCCAAGGTTCAGAGCTGTAAAACCTCAAGTTTTAAAATGGGGGGCAGAAGGGCAATCTTGCAATGGGGAGGAAATTCCGCAGATTTTCAGTGAGGTTTACTCCAGATCAACCTCTGCTTTTAGTTTCTTCGTGTAAAGTCAAGACCTTCTGGATCAAACCCATTCAGACATGGGTTGAGTCGACCCAGGAAGTAAATGACAGGCCTTAATTCTCTCGGTCCTGGAAAACAGGCTCCACCTTTGCGAGACTTGGCACTTTATTTACACCTCGTTCATGCTGCTATGCCTGAGGCAATTTCCGAGGAGAAAAATCAGACATTTTCAGGCTTTAAAGGCCCCTAATAAAGGTTTCACGGGTTTGGGTTTGTTTTTTCGTTTTTTTTTTTTTAAAAAAAACCGAAATAAATTCCTCCTCCCCTTTTTAAATAGCAGGTTGGATCAGAGCTAAGTATTATTTTTCCTTAGTACTTGGGAAAACCTCCCTGGGAAATTCATTCAAAATTTACAAAAAAAAAAAAAAAAAAAAATCCAGACCAAACTGTATGCTGTATATTTTACTCCCATGAAACACATTTTTTTTTTCCAATGTTGCTGAAAAGGAAAACACTAATTATACGAAATGTTATACACGGGGTATGTTTTACATTGCAAGTTTCAAAAGTCACCATTGCATCCACCAGAGGTACTATTCTAAAACTGATATTCACACAATGGGACTTCCTTTTTAATAATAATATTAATAACATGTTAGAAACATACAGTGTTGCATTTAGTACAGTATATACATTCCCTTGCTCGCAAGCGGAAAAAAAAGAAAAGAAAAAAGAAAAAACAAATCCCTACTCTCTTGTGTAACATGCTTTATTTTAAAGCCTAACTTTTTAAAAACACTGTGGAGGAGATATTACTAACAACTGCTTTTATAAAATTAATTTTGACATTTCAATATATATATACATCCTTTCCCGTCATTTTTTTTTTCCTTTCAATGTTAACAATGCTAAACATAAAAAATAACAAGCTTATAGGAACATTAAAATGTCATACCATATCCAGTCAAACGTTTTGTCCGTATTTTATATATATTTATAATATATGTCCTTGTCTCGGTCGGGAACGTTTCTTTCCCAATTTTATTTTATTTATTTTTTAAAAAAAAACCTCTTTCCATTTATTTTAAGGAGCCGGAGAAGAATCCCCTTTGAAAAGCAAGGAAGGCCGAGATTTCAAGGGTTTTCCTTCCTCTTCCTCTCCCTCTCCCTCCGCCTGGGTAGATTCAGTTCGGCCGCCCGGTCGCTCCTCTTTCCGCTCTCTGCCCACCCGCCCCAGCGCCCGTTTGCTTCGGGTCGAAGGCTCCAGTCCTCAAGAGGCCGAGGCGAAGGAGCCTCCTCCGTCCCTCCCGACCGTCGCGCGCGATCGCCTGCCCTCCTTCCCCGCCCTCCCCCTCCCTCCCTCCCCCCCCCCCACGCAGCAACGAGAGCAACTACCCCGAAGCCCCGGCCCAAGAGGCTGGCCTGGTCCTCCTCCTCCTCCTCACACCGGCCTGTCCACGGCGTACTGGCAGGCGCTCAGGTTGGAGGCCGGGGTCTGGACGCTGGCGTAGCCGAAGCTGGAGTGCTGCTTGGCTTTGAGTCTCAGGCTGGCCAAGCTCGAGTTACACGTGTCCCGGTAAACGTAGGGAGGGGTCGGCGGGGCGTAGGGGCAGGCGGGCGTGGGCACGGCCGAATTGAGCGAAGGGTTGCTCAGGTTGTTCAAGTTGTTGAGGCTGTTGAGGCCGGAGCCCGGCACGCCGGCCACCGCCGAGGGCACCATGCTGGAAGACATGCTCATGGACGAGATGGAGTTGGGGGGCGAGAACATGCTCTGCGAGGACAGCGGGTTGACGTTCATGGAGTTGAAGAAGGGGAAGCTCTTGGTGGAGAGCGAGGCGGAGGTCAGCCCCTTGGCGGCCCAGTTGTTGTAGGAGTAGCCCGGGTACATGTCGTCGTAGGGCTGCATCAGCCCGTTGAACTGCGGCCCGAAGCCGTTCTTACAGAGTTCCGCCTGCTGGTTCCGCTCCCGTTTCCGCCACTTGGCCCGCCGGTTCTTGAACCAAACCTGGAGGAGAGGGAAGAGAGAGAGGGGGGGGGGGAGAAGGAGGAGGAGGAGGAGGAGAGAAACAGAGCGAAGGAGAGCTGGTCACTGCGGGGAAACCAAAGGACACCAGCATGCCCCACTCAGCTCTCCGAGACCCCCGCACTACGGGGCTTCCCGGGGTCCCTGGGGGAAGGGAAGGGGCAAGCAAGCACCACAAACCAGAAGCCCCCCCACACACACACTTCTTCCGTGCCGCCTTCCCCTCCCGCTCCAGCCTCGGACTTAAATCAGCCAGGTTTTTATTTTACCAAAAATCTTTTTTTTTAGGCCGCCTTAAAGTTAAGTCCTTCGGCTGAGTCTGAACAATAAACGCGCGCCGCGTTTTACACGAGGGGGCGGGAGAGAGAGAAAAGGCTTGGAAGGGTTGTCCGAACCTGAAATGCACCGTTATTTATCTCTAACATAGAGCCTCTCCTGGCCCTCCCGTTTTTCGAGAGAAGAGCACCGCTGAAAATCTTGGGCATCCTCACGACCACAAGATCTCGCTCTCAACAAGACTCCCTTCCAAGAAAACCTTAAGTAACCTACACGGAAATGTCCGGGCTGGGCTCCAGAGTGAAAGGCCCAAGTCCCAGTAAAACAGCGCTTGAGGTTCTGTTGGCAGAGACCTCCCCCCCCCTCCCCGCCCCCCCCAGAACGCCATTTCCTTGGATTTCGCTGAAGTTAGCAGGCAAACCTGTTTAGCCTAGAATGTTACACCTTTCACACAAACTGGTCCAAGGAGGGAACGGTTTTGTTTCTCTGGCCTTATTAACGTATTTATAGCTGCGTAAACAAACCGGTCTACCCTGGCATTTACATTCGGATAATAAGCCCACAAGAGCTGGCCTGCGCCGAATTCAACGAATAGGCTTCTCCAGAGAGCGGCCAATCTCCTTCTCCTTAAAAGGGACAAAAATGCTTATCCGAAACTGACTTTGAGACGGGGAGGACTTTGTTCCTAGCCCCGACAAAAGGTATGCTGAGGTCCGAAGGCAAAGATAGTTCATAACAAACTCTGATACCTAGCCAAGAAAACGTCCTATGCATCTGCTGGTTGGTTTTCACCCCGCGTTTCTGCCAGCTCTCTCTCTCTCTCTCTCTCTCTCTCTCTTGCTTTGCACTTCATTCATTTTGATCCGAGTGGTAATCTTGGAACAAAAGGGATGGGCTCAATTTTTCCTCTCCAAACCTCTAACTCTCCCTTCCACCTCTAAACGTCTCAGGCAAGGCAGTTAATCCGCTTTAACACCTATTTTCTACGCAGGAGAGGAAGAACGATCCTCACGATTATATTCGTAATCCAGGAGTAGCTTGGAATTTAAATCCGGTCAATGATTTTCTCTCCAGCAGCCCGAAAAAAAACAGAAATCAACATAAATATCGGCTAGGAAACCCTTCTAATAAACCTTTACCTTAACAGCTTGTGACGGGGAGGGTCTTTCTTTCATGTGCTAATCATTAGTAGAGCTAAGCCACGTCCGCCCCAGCTTCTCCTCCTGCGCTTTTGGCAGAGTTTGCTCTTTCTCAACACGCGAAGGACGGGCGCCTCCACCGCCAAGACAAAGGCGACAGGCGCGCGCCTCCTTCGCCAATCCACATTCCCAGTTGCCTGCTCGGCCCACCCGCCTCCTGCCACTTTCTTATGTGGATTCGGACCGTCGCTGCTCTTTGGTTGACCCCACGCGGGGTCTGGTCTAGCTAGACCCCGCCGCGCTTCCCCCGCGCCACACCAGTCGCAACCTACTTCGTACTGCCCTCTGCACGCCCAAACGCCGAGGCGGCCGCTCCAGACTGCAGACAACCTGCAGGGTGGATCGTCTTTTCTGCCATCCAAAAGGCCCCACGAGCAGAGAGCCAGGCGCTTTTGGAGCAGAAGATCGGACTGCAGCATCGCGCGCAGCCGAAGGTGTATTTATTGTTCAGTTGTGAGTAGAGGCCGCTTCCCTCCTCCAAGGTTTTTTTTTGTTTTTGTTTCCTAGGCGCCTGGAACGACAACCCGACATGTTGCTACAGAGTAAATCAGTCTCCGTGTGGTTTACTGCTGATTGGAGCCACCACAATAGCACAATTGGAAATCTGGGGGTAATTGCATCGAACAGAAACACAAACTTGCCTAGAATCGCAATCATAGCAGCAACAGCCAAATCTCAAGAGCAACAATTCTATTCTATTAGAAAGAGCCAAAATGTCGCCAAGGAACCCGGAAGGCTGCTTCAATACACTGTTTCCGCATTGTTTCCGAAAGGACAATTTTCCAAGCGGAGGACTCAATTCGAGGCCAGCTTAAATGCAAGCGCCTCGGTTTAAATGGTTTGAACCGCAGGAATTCAGGGTGAATTGACTGAGGAAGCCAAAAGGGTCAGCTTTTTATACTTTGCCATATTTTCCCCAGTCGCGTGTTGTTTATTTGCACTAAACTTGAGTCTCAGCCCTTCCGATTTTTAATTTAAAAAAAAACAAAACTTTGGGATTTGTATACTTTCTGAGCAATTAAAAGGGGTTCTGTTGCAATTAAAAGGGATTCATCAAATGGGCGGTATGGAATTGATTGGTGTTCATTTAATCTAGGAAAGACGTTACATTGGAAATGCAACACTTTTTCCCCCTCGTAAATATGGATAACTTTGTCACAAAGTTCTTTCCACTCTATTCTTCAGTGACAAAAGTTTGGAAAGGAACACGGTTAAGTACGTTCTCCCCTTTCATAGCAACTGTTTTGGAGAGTCTTTTTCACTCCCGTCCAAGAAAACAACTGTGTGGTTTTTACACCACTGTTTTTTTTTTAAAAAAATTGCTCCTTCCCCCCTCCCTCTCCCTTTTCTTATGTGTGTATGTTCGTGAATGTGTATGTGCGCGTGTGTATGAAACAACAGCAGCGACAACACTGAAACAAGCTGACCTCTGCTTCTCTGGGCATCTGCACACACACACACACACACACACACACACCGCCTTCATTTCACTGACTTCAAGTAAACCTTGGCATCAAATCCAAAGGTTCACTTCCCAGCTTTCCGGATTCCGAGCAGTAGTAATTATTCAAACCCTACGGAGCTTTAGAGTCACTAACGCCATCGAATTAAGAGATCCCCCCATCTACGCATTTCTGCCTAAACCCCCTAAACTCAGTTTACACCAGGAAAACTGGAGAGCCGCGCTGGATCCCATCTGACTTTCCTACCACGAGTCGCTCTGAACTATAATCTCGGTAGGAAAACGGCCCTTCCCACGCGCCCCCCCCCCTTCCTCCTCGGCGCTTTGGGGAAGCTTTATTTATTATTATTATTATTATTATTATTATTATTATTATTATTATTATTATTATTATTATTATTATTATTATTATTATTATTATTATTCTCTTCCCCTCCGACTGAGCTGCCTGATCCTGTCGGATTGCAGGGGCTTTGAGATGGAGCCATAAATCTAAGGCCCGCAGGGGTAGTCAACCTTGGCTCTTTTAGGACTCGTGGACTTCAACTCCCAGAATTCCTGAGCCAGCTTAGCTGGCTCAGGAATTCTGGGAGTTGAAGTCCACGAGTCCTAAAAGAGCCAAGGTTGACTACCCCTGAGATTCTGAGGCGAGAAGAGGGACGGGGAATAAGCCACCAGAGTTGTGAAAGCGGAGGGGAAGGAGGGCGGGCGGGTGGGGGGCAAAGAATGCAGGGGAAGGCGGCCGAGGCGCATTTGGGGCCGGGCGCACGTCGGAGCCTGCCCCGGGCCCGCTTCCTTGGCGCGGGCTTCCCTTTTGCTCCATCGCATCCCGTTCAGAACCCGCCGCCGCCGCACAGTCGCGGGGCCATCCATCATCTCCGGAGGGGGAAGGCAATCCGTCACCGGGCCTGACAGACCCAAGCGAGGAACTGAGCCCCGGCCAAAGGCCCGCCTCGCTGGAGGCGAAATCGAAAGCGGCCTCTCTCCTCCAGGAGTCCCGCCCGGCGGCCCCCCTCGCGTCTCTCTCTTACCCGGACTCTGGCCTCGGTCAGGTTGGTCCAGACGGCGATCTCCTCCCGCGTCGACATGTCCGGGTAGCGGTTCCGTTGGAAGGTGGCCTCCAGTTCTTGCAGCTGCTGGCTGGTGAAGTGGGTCCGCTGCCGCCGCTGCCGCTTCTTCTTGGACGGATCTTCGGCGCCCGCCTCCTCATTCTTGCTCGGCTGGCTCTTCTCCTTTTCTGCGGGAGGAAAAGCAGCGGTCGGGTCAGGTGGGGGGGGCCCGTCGGGGAGAGGGAGAGGGAGGAGAGGGAGGAGAGGAGGGGCGGTCAAGGCAAGGCAAGGCAAGGCAAGGCAAGGCAAGGCAAGGCAAGGCAAGGCAAGGCAAGGCAAGGCAAGGCAGGAGCAAAAGGAGTCGCCCCCCGGTCCCCCGGCCGGCTTCCCAGGCCCGCGACTGGAGGCCAGCCTCTGGGAAGGGCTGCCCCCCCCCCGGAGCCCGCTTCCTTTCAGCCCGCGCCTCTGAAAACCAAGGGGACTCCTCGGCGCGCACCATCCGGAAGGAGCCAGCGCCACAGCGATGTGATTAAAACACGAGTTAAGAACCACTAAAACAACAACAACAACAACAACAACAACAAAAACCCAGGCGTGCCATCAGGAACGGGAGCTCCGGAGAGAAGGAGTAGACAATCGGAAGGGCCGCTTGAAATGAAGGCGCTTCCTTCCCAGTGAAACAACCCAACCGAGAATGGAAGAGCGCTCCCTCATCCTTGGGAGTGCCTGTCTGCAGGAGGAGTGCCACACGGGGTGTGAGTGGGTTCCTTGCGCTGTGGGCTCTCCCCGGGGCTTTGGAAATGTTATTCAAAACCATCGGTTGAAAATGGGAAAGGAAGGAAAAGAAAAGGGGATTCCCGCTGCAAAAAAAATACCTGCTTAGACTTGGAAGGCGGATGGTGTAAATTAATCATTCCCAGCCTGTTGCGTTCAAACTGCCAGGTCCAAGCAGGTTTGCTGTGAATGTTCCAGGGATTGCTCACTCCTTCCCCCTTAAGCATACGGTTTTATTGCAATTAAATATACAACCACCGGTGATTGTAGTGGGACAGTACAAGTCTGAACGGACAAATCTTCCATAATATAGAACATGAATCTACTGACAATAAGCTCCATTGCCCTGGTTTAGGGCACACAAACACACACACACACAAAAGCTTTTAAAAGGACATACAGGTATGTATGTATTCATTAGAAATTATCTCTCAAGATTTTAGAAGTACAGAGCATTATCTTGCATGTGCTTACATTTCTAGACATGCCCACTTTGGGGGCATCCAGAAATTATATATATATATTGTACAATATATAAATATCTTGATTGATACAAACTACCGAAAAGAACAAATGCCAAATGTCTCAAAAAGTGCAATCAGACTGAGAATCCTTTCAGAAGCAGTTGTTTTATGCACTGCAGCACCGTTTTATGTACAATATGAACGGCAGCAAACATCTATGAATCATATAAAGATAGATACACTGTTCTCTTTAGGTCTCAAGATTGTCCTTTATATAAATTAGAAGTGTTCATTTACGAGTTAAAATGGTTTGACCTTCGTATAATTTGAGGTGGTGACTCTAATCCGTGGTCCATATCCAGTGAAAACCTGCATTATTCTACTCAGCAGAAGGTCAACTGTATCTGTGGATTCAGTCCCAAATAAAAATGTACGTGGTGTTAACCCAAGACTTGGGGGTTGAACCCGAACTAAAGTTGACCACATTTACTTGGGGCTAAAATACTGTACATTGCATATTCTGACAGATAGTTCCGAGCTATTGCACACACGAACTGTAATTGCAGTTGAACTCTATGCACATTAATTCTAAAGACATCCAGTTAACAGGACTTACTCTTGAGTAAGCACAGATAGGAGTGGCGTTGTCTTTCAGAAGCATCCCGTGCATGCTTCAGCAGAATTTCCCATTGCAGCTTATTGGAAAGTCTCAGAAAGTTGCATGGAGGCTTACAGCCAATCAGTTTCAGGTTTTCTGAATTCTGCTCTCTTGCAATCACATTATTTTCACTAATCTCAGATTTTGGACAACCTCGTTATTTCAAGAGCTCCCCACTCCCCCCCCCCCATTTAATTTCCAGTAAGGAAAGAGTTCAATTAGTGACTCTTTTTCAGAGAGATATAAAGGCTGCCTAAATCTGGTGATATTCCTGAGAATTGTTGCTCTGACTGCTTGGTGGTCCCAGCTCCCGTTGGGTTTGCTGCCCGACCAGCTTCTCTCCCTGGCGAACACAAAAGGTTGGCCCAGAAGAAGGTATTAAAAATTGCCCCCATTCTTTGCCCTCCCTATACCAAAGCGGCAAATCCCTGACACGGTCTGATTCGCCTTTCCAAACCACCTTAAAAGAAGTGGAGAATTGCATTTTGTTGTTGTCGGTGGTGTTTCTTTGCTGTTCTCTACCTTTCTAATTTCTAACTATGGACATAACGGATCAGGTCCATAGGCCAATATCCCCTCCCCCCCCGCCGCCGCCGCCAAGTTGTCGCCGTATTACAATGGGGGAAGCGAGAAGCCGGGGGGGGGGGGGGGGGGGGGGGGGGGGGGGGGGGGGGGGGGGGAAGGCTAGTGGCTGGGTTGGGGCAAGAAGCGCCTTACCTGCGGCCTCGGGGCTGGAGGTGTCGGAGATGGTGTGAACCTCCAGCCGATGTTTGGCGGAGTCCAGGGCCGATCGCGGCTGGCCGGGGGTCAGGGCCGAAGCCATAAGCAGGGCCGGCTGCTGGTGGTGATGGTGGTGGTGGTGATGGTGGTGGTGGTGGCAAGACGAGGAGGAGGAGGAGGCGGAGGAGGAAGAAGAGGAAGAGGAAGAGGAGGTGGAGCAAAGCTTATTCCCGGCTCCCAAACGCTCCAGGCTGAGAGGGTCTTTCAGGCAGTTCATCGAGCGACGCCAGCCAGCCAGCCAGCCAGCCAGCCAACCCGGGCGGCCGGGGGCTGAGCGCTGGCGGAGAAGAGCCCCGGTGGAGGAAGGTGCGCCGCCGCCAGGCGCAGTCGGTGGCCCAGGAGCGTCGCCTGCCCTGCCGGAGCCCCCCCTGGCCAGACTCCGCTCTTTCCCGGCCGAGCAGCAGGCAGGCGGTCAATCCCGTCCGGACCTCAAGGCAGGGGAGCTCCCTGGCCGCCGCCGCCGCCCCCCGCCCGGTCCCGTGCCGAGCCCCGCCGCATCAGCCTCGGCCAAGCGGAGGCTCCCCAGGCAGAAGCGCCCCCGCTGGGAGAGCGTGGCCAAGCCGAGCCGGAGACTCCCAAGGCGGACGGCGCAGACCATGAAGAACCACCAAGAGCGGGGGGCGGGCGGGCGGGCCAAGGCGAATCCGGCGCAGGTAGATCCAAAGCGAGGCCGGCTGCGAAAGAGAGAGAGCCAGCGATCCCGGGACGCGAGCCCCGCGCGCGTTCTGGCCCGGAGGTGGCCGCCACTTCCCTCCCCTCCTGGGCAGCTCTGCGCCGGGCGCTGGGAGACCCGGGCTGCTCGCCTGGCTTCCCTGTTTGCCTAACACCTTAAACGCCGAGGCCGCCCGGCCGGGCCAGTGATATCACCCGGCCCCTTTTCTCTCTCCTCCTTCCAGCCTTCCCCCTGGCGCTCCAGACTCGCTGCCCAGGCCCAGACTGACGCGGCGCGCAACCAATCCGAAAGCGCAACGCCCCGGCGCGGGCTATAATAAGAACAGCCTATCAGAAACGTAGGGCAAGGCTCAATGGGAAACCTTCGCTCTCGGCCTCTCTCTCTCTCCCCTCCCCTCCCCTCCCCCAACCCTCTTCCCTCCAGTCAAATTTCCAAGCTACGCGTTGCAAGTCAGCAAAGGGAAAATTGGGAAAAGCCAGGGACGGGGTAGGAAAACCCGTCGACGAGGCAATCTTCTTGTTACCTAAAGCTTTCCTCCTGGAAGCAGAAGCAGAAGCAGAAGGGAAAAAAAAGGAAAAAAAAGCTTTCTCCTGCATTTATTTTCGGAGATGCCTGCAAGGACTTCTTGGAGCCGCTCGGTTAAATCCCCAATCTGGAAGGCGACGGTTCTTCACACCGCCCCTTGAGCACACAAAGGGCCTTTCCTTAGATTAAAAGAAAGCAGGTATCTCCCCGGAGGAGAAACGCAGCCCTGGAGAGAATTTTTTTTTTATTATTATTTTTTTTTTTTTGCGGGTAACCTCGGACCTTTGTTTCAGTGACTGCAGAAGAGAAACTACGCTTTTTAGAAGAAGCAAAGTGAGCGAAAAGGAGACGAGCGCAGAGAAGCTTCTTAACCGCTTAGGACTCCCTCTGTGATTCAGGGCTGTCAATTGTTATTACACTGAATACACAATGTAAATAAATGTCCCCGATTAACGGTTGCAATAGTATTGTTTAAAATCCCCGGTGACTTTGAACTACTTCAGATGATTTTCCCTGATCTTAATGGACTTCTTTATAATAATTGTCTACTTATCGGATTCTAAAAGATCTTTGTAATCCCAAACACATCTCACCCTTTTGTTGTAAAGGCTGCGGAGATTTGAAGCCAGTATCCAACAAACGCCGGAACAAACAATCACAATTGGTGATTGAGCACCTTTGCCCCCCAGTAAAACCAAAACTGAAGCATCGTCTACCTATTTTAACATGCCACTATAATTTTCGCAATTTCTAAAATAAAAAAAAACTCCCTAACATCCTTTTGCTATATTTCATTTTCTCATAATGAAAATTAAGAGTAAGAAGAATGAAAAAAAATCCCTAGAAATAAAGCAGATGCTGAAAAAATGGGTTAATTTGGTTCTCGCTTGGCACTTAAAACAAGCTTAGGTAAATGTCAAAGTCAACGAGGGTCGCCCGCAGAGAAAGGACCTTAAAACATACCTTTTACTGAGCCGCTATCGGGAATTAACACTACTGTGATTTTACTCTGCTGGAATTGTGTTTCCTACCCGCAAATACACCACTGCAACTTGTTGCAACGTTGCGACAAAATTGGGGCTTAAATCTCTTTTTTAAAAAAGACACGCATTTGAGCCAGCCTCCCTACACAACATTTCAAAGAACAAAACTAAATAAAACAGAAATGCGCTTTTCTGCCATGGCTCTGTACAGGTGAAATTGGCTATTTTTTTTTGCTTTTCGGGTTGTTTTTGTGTGTGTGTGTTTTAGGGTGGTGTTATATTACAACCTTTAGGGAAAGGCAAAGAGAATCTCGGATAGACTTTGCTTCTAGGCGGGCTGGGAAAGCTTATCTATCCTTTAGCCTCTCCTTTGAGAGTGCGGGGCAGTATGCGAACCCCCCAAAGCAAGGCTGTCTTTCTATCTCCCGCAAAAATCCCCTCGATTTATGGTACCCTCGGCTAGTTTAAAAGGTGCTTTGTAGTCGTTCTTTAATAATCCGGATTTCACTCTGGATTCCCAGTTATTAAAGCCGCGGAGCTCGCAGCCGCTTTAGCAGGAGGGTTGTTGACTCAGCCTGGTGGATAAGAGAGGGCTCAGACTCGCCGGACAGGACCCCGGCCCCCCGGTTTTGGGGATGCACCCAAGCAAGCCGCGTCTGATCCCTGGATGTTGCCATAGGGAGGATGCCTGAGACGGTCACCTTCAACCCCAGCCCCGTTTCCATCTCCCCCCCCCCTCCGCCCTTTATGGAGGGACGGTGCCCGCCCCTTTTGTCGCCTTCCCCGCTAAACCCCATTTACAATTTTAGCAGTATCAGCGAAGGAAAAGCAGGTCTCGTTAATTTACATGCTGCTCATTATCCGCTCTTTAAACGGGGAAGCTTTTATCCATCCGATTTGGCAGCGACCTGCCTCTCCTCGGGACCCCTCAGCGTTTGGATGCAGACAATTCTCTTACAGTTGTAGTGGATTTTAAGCTGATAAGACTCTAATTTGCTTAAGTCTTTTAAATAGGGGCTTCTCGGTGATTCTGGCTCTTTTCTGACTGGATTGCCTCTAATTCCCCCAAGATCATAAAGTATATGTATAAAGTAAATAGTTTCTCCCTAAGCGCCGCCAGCAGATGACCTATAAGTAAATCAATAAGAACCCGAAGCTTTTCTCCACCATTTGTTTACTAACCGTAGCCCGGTTCTCCTTAACCTCCCAGGGCTGTGAGGGGCTACACACGCCGCGTAAATCCCTCCCAGCCTTATTAAAGCGACGGACGGCGCGGCCGCGGCAGAAACTACTCAGTCGTGGCAGGCGGAGTGGGGAACAGGAGGGGGCAGGAAATGCCGCAACCCTCCCCCAGGAAGAAAGCAGGAATTTCTCTCCCCCCCAAACTCGAGGAAAGGGGAGTAGTAAGAAGAAATTAACTAGCCGGAGAAGGGCTTAGCACAGATCAGTCCTTTGAGGTTAGGTGAAAGAATATCATCCTTTCTCCAATCGGATTCAAAATGCCTTTAGAAGGGATGCCTTCTGAATCCAAGAGCTAAATCCTAACGCTTGTATTTAAAGCAATCCTAAAGATGCACCCCATCTTCCATTAAGTTAGGAGGGAGGGGGGGGGGAAACCAATCCAACGGACTTTGCATTCACAAGGAGTGATTACAGTAAAGCTACAGAGAAGGAGATACAGTAAGAAACCAGCGCTTGCCCTCTGCAATCCGAAATACATCTACACAGAAGCCAGCCCCCTTGTTGCCAGTGAGTCTTCCAGTTAAGGGTATATATAAGAATGCTGCCTTGATCATTGAGTTCCGAGCTGAAGAAGAGAGGTGGAAACACCAGTTTTAGCACTTGTTAAAAGAAACACAGCCTTAATGCTATTGCTACCCCTGAGAAAAATGCAGATCCCACGGATTTTAAGAACATTAGCCATAGCAGTCAAGGACAAGAGAGAGATTTAAACCCGGTTAAAGTTGAATTAAGGGCGTTACATACCGGTATATTACAGAATATGGCCCACAGTAAACTGTACATAGTGGTTTGAACTGGGGAGAGGGGGGAGACTCAGGAAGAGCGTTACTACGCCTAGAAATTGCGCAGCAGCAGACCCCATCCTGGTGCCCATGGGGTGGTGGTGGTGGATTTCAACCCTTACAATCTCAACACATTTTGGAGGGCACCTGGTTAGGAAAGGCTGCTGCAGGCATTTCTGTATTCGGTTGAAGTTGGGAGCATGACAGCCTAGTTGATTAAAAAAAACCTCCTTGACAATCTGGATTTGATCCTCTAATCTAATCTAATATTTCAGATCATGAAATCTAATTACTCTTAACTAGTAGCAACTCTCACACAGAGGCCATTCGCGAATTCTCTCCTATTTTGAGGTGGGTTACTAGGGCTGAACCTGGACCGTTTCTGTAGAAAGGAATCCACACTTTACCATTAACTTTAGCTATCAGCTTCCAAAATACCAACCATGGGGAAATGGGCATTAAGATTTTCTGAATGGCTACCCCAGAGGTGGGGAACTTTGGCTCTTTTATGACTTGTGGACTTCAACTCCCAGAATTCCTGAGCCAGCCATGCTGGCTCAGGAATTCTGGAAGTTGAAGTCCACAAGTCATAAAAGAGCCAAGGTTCCCCACCCCTGGGCTACCCCATCCAGACTTCAAAAGCTTGCCCCCCAATTTTGAGTCAAAAATTCGCAGAGGGCAGAAAATAGCATCCAAGATAACATAAATTTAAATCACTGATGATAATGATAATGTTGACAATATTAATGATAAACACGATCTGCTTCTGGACAAAAATCAGGGAGGGAGATGGGCAGTTCAAAAATGTGAAAAACAAACAAGTGATTTATTCTGGAAGACTTTGTTGGCTTCCCATATACTTGCTAAAAAAAAAGTTAACTAATCCAATATTAGTCTAGTCTAAGGCTAATCTAGTCTAAGTGGTTAGTGGTTTAATGTGTCATGGGAATTTGTTCATTGCTTTAAGAATGTTTTTGAATCAGCCATTAAATAGTTTATTTAGGTTATTTAT